GAGAGGCTTCACCAGAGACAGAGTGGGGAGCAGAACAGGCAGATCAACGAAGTACACTGCTGATGGGAGCAGTGGGCGGGTCAGGAGAGGTCTGCCACACCATGTGGATCATCACCTCCAGGGCAGGCGGGGATTGAACTCATGCAGAAGTGGCTTTAGCTTCTTAGTGCTATGTTTTAGCCCACTGCACCACCAGGGAGGGCCCTATTATATTATTTTTTAAAATTGGAAAAAAAATAATGAGGAAGAGAAGAGTTAAAAAAAAAAAAAGGAATCCTACTCTGGTTGGGAATGCTGATCTAAAGGCATATTCTTTGATATTTATCCAAGGTGCCATCATGGGGCAAATAAAAAAGTTATGAGATATAATCTCTGGGCAGAATGTTCCTAAGAAGGAATCTTAGTGAAAGACAGGATGAGGGCCAGTGGCTCTGATCTGTTATCAAGAGCTTTCAAACTCGTTTGATACAACCTGTCCACATTCAGAAGTGCCTTACACTTTTGACCCATAAATTTCCTCATAACTAGAAGTACTAAATGCTGGAGCAGAATTTTTGAAACAGAATTAACCCTTATGTGGTTTTATAATATAGAACTAAGCCTCACTATGACACTCTGTGAAGTGTTCATTTGGGACTCCTAAATCCCAAGCTGTGGGATTTCACAGCCCATAGTTTGAAAAACACTGATGTAGAATATATTTCAGAATATGAAATAGAAGCTTCTGAAAATGTCAATCCTTTTTTAAAAGTTAGTATTCATTGCTTTATCCTAACACCTGCAATAGTGTTTTACACCTGTGCCTCAACAGGTATTTGGTGAATGAGTGGTACATATTCATGATAAAGAGATTACAAGGTTAAAAAAAGTATAGAATGAAGATTATTTTACTTTTTGATGTAGTGAGTGTTGGGCAGGTAAGGGTGATATCAGGAGATGGAATAGGTGGGTTCCAGATTGTCCAGAACAATAAACTTTACAAGGTTGAACATCATAGAAGAATTTAAGGGGCCCTCCCTGGTAGTGCAGTGGGTTAGGATGCAGCGTTGCAAGCTAGTGTAGTCTCTTCAGTGCGAGTTCAATCCCCAACCCCAGAGGTGATCCACATGGTGCAGCGGACCCCTCCTGACCCGCCCGCTGCTCTCTTCAGCAGTGTACTTTGTTAGTCTTCCTGTTCTGCTCTCCACTCTGTCTCTAGTGAATCCTCTCACCTCCCCTGCACCTCTGGCTTTACCCCAGTTCTGTATGCATAAATAAATAAATAATTTAAAAAGAGAGAATTTAAGGCAAAGCAGTGGTAGGGGTTGGGGGGAGGGGGACGGTCAGTCATGCTTGAGAAAGTTCATCCAGAGCAAGTTCATCCGGAGCCAGGATGGTAAATGGATTGGAGTGGACAGAGATCAAGTTGCTTTGGGGTAAGAATCTAAGTAAGAACTAACTAATCTAAGTAAGAACTAGTGGGAGCCTTTGGGGTAAGAATCTAAATAAGAACTAAGGCAGGAATGTTGGGGTTGAAGGTGAGGGGTGAAGCAAATGCCTGGGAGGCAGATGGAGCCAGGCCCCAGAGAGCTAAGGAAAAAATAGCCAACAAACAGGAAGAGGGGTGAGAATTGTTAGAGGAGCAGAGATAATCAGACTGATGTTCACTGCTGGGTGCCTTGAAGAAGCCAAAAGAAAATAAGAAGAAAAAACGGCCCTGGCTTGAAAGGGCAGGGAAGGAGCAGGTGCTGGATTACAGGAGCTAAAAGAATGATAAGTAAGGAAAGAACCTATTCATGGAAGAGGAGAGAGGAGAAAGTTGGCGTGAGTTGCAGGACACAGGAAAGTGGCGGGAACACAAATCTTTATTGAACAGCAATATGCACCATTCTTTCTCTATATGAGTCATTAAAATACTCAAAAACCTAGAGAGCTAAGTGGTATTATTATTATTATTATTTATTATTATTAACAGGTAACAGGGTTGAGGTTCAGGTTTCTCAAAACAGACATTTATTCTCTCTCAGTGCTCGGGGCTGGAGATCCAAAGTCAGGGTTTCACCAGGGCCATGCTCTTTCCGACAGCTGTAGGGACATCCTTGACTCCCCTAGCTTCTGTTGGTGGGTGGTGATACTTCGTTTCCTGGGTATCACTGAATCACTCTGCTTTCTGCCTCTGTCATCGCACTGTGTTCTCTGTATGGTCTCTGGTTTTAGGTGATGTTCTCCTCTCTGGGTTTCATGTTCAAATTTCCTGCTTTTGTAAGGACACCGCTCATTCAATTATGTGTATTAGACCTCAGTAATTATTAGTGATAGTTTCCAGCCCTGCTTTTATTTCCCATCAGATCCATCATGGGGAACATAAAATCAATGATTAAATAAGAATTTTGGGATTTTTACAGCTTTAAGCAATCCATACCTTAAAATGTACCTGTTAACCCAATATTCATGTTGTGGATGAGAAATTTATATCCTTTATCCCCAAAGCCAGACTCTACCTTTGCAATTAATATTACATTCTTCTGAACATTCAGAAACAGGATAATGTTTCAGATGACGTTTTTGGTGAAATTTGGCTGTCAAAGACTAGGGGAGGTACTGTTGAAAGTGCTGAGGAGGCTGAATTTTTTCATCCATTCTACCAGATTGTTTGACTTTGTATGGACTTTCATTCATTGTACCTTCCAAGATAGATCCTTAGCCCCTACCTTTTTCTTTACTTTGGAAATCAGTGTTTTGGAGTCTAATTCAAATCAGGCCATCTGGGTTCAAAATGGTCAAAGTTTTTTTCTGATTGATGGTCCTAAAACAAGCTATTATACATCCTTGATGATTTGCTGCCACCTACAGTCTAATGTGGAAAAAGCAGAACAAGTACTTTTTGTCTTTGAATACACAATCGGAGGAGGTCTCAAAGCCAATGTAGATTTCAAGATTTCATGACCCCTTTTTCTGTGACATTTGTTTTCTCTAGTATCCCAAATGGATACTTTAGTAGTATCACAATCCTATTAGGTTCTTTTTGGAATTTTGGAAATATATTGTTAGTTATCAATTACTTCATTTTCTATTCTAAGTAGATTTACAAAATAGTGTTGATTAAAAAACAGAAAGAGACCATTCCTGGTGGCGCATTGGGTTAAAGTGCAACAGTGTGAAGCTATCCACAGCCACTGCAGCATGAGTTCAATCCCTGGCCAGGAGGTGACCCATAGTATGGCAGTTCTCTCCTGCCTCGACGCTGCTCCCCTCAGCAGTGTATTTCAGTAGATCTGCCTGTTCCTTTCCCTACTCTGTCTCTGATGAATCCTCACCCCATCCATGCCTCTGTCCTGTACCCCAGTTTTAGTATGAATCAACAAATAAATGTTAAAAAAAAACCTTTGTAGATTAACCTCAGAAACAACAATATCTACTAAAAAATAAATTAAAAAAAAAAACAGGAAGTGTTACTTAAGATATGGTCTAGCACCTGTGGTTTTTTATTTAGGGGGGATGGAGGACGGTTCTTGTTCTAACTGGGGATCTTCCAGAGTTCTGAGCAGCAAAATGTGAAATATAGTGACTTTGTAATTGTATGCTCCTTACTCTAATGTCTTACATGGTTGCTGCCTGTATGCTTACCTTCTGTACTTGATCTCATACTCCTGCATCACAGAATCTGGGACAGGGTTAAATTTCAGGCATCATGAATCCTCAGTGGTTTCTGACAGTACATAATATAGCACCTTGTTCACAGTTTGATTTGGCTAGAGTTGAGGTAAGAGGTGCCAGATAACAGGGAATGGATCCAGTAAGGTCTGTGTACTAAGTTATGGGATTGAATTTTGTCTTGAAAATAACAGAGAAGAGTTTTAAGCTGGGGAGTGACATGTTGAGATTTTTGACATAAGAATATCACTTGAGCAGTTTTTTTGGAAGATATTTTAGAGGGGACCATCGGAAGCAATTATTCACAGACCTTTCCCACCACTGATTGTTCTTGCCATGCAGTGTCTTCAGCATTGAAAGGAGTAAGTCATGTTGTTTGCCACACCAGTGTGTGGCTTTTGAGTGGCTTTGTTTATATTGCTTTAGTGCATTTAGTAAATCTATAAATACCTCTCAGGTAGGCACTGCTTTGATACTATTATACTAGTGATTATTGTTATAACTACCCACTCCCAATATGCAGTTAACATAGAATAGTTTCTGGTGTTTTTTTACCTTTTACATTTTTGTGTACACATTGTCATTGATTCGTGTACTTCTCTCACATTTGCCATAGTGCTGGCTGATTATTGAACCGTGTGGTTATTCTTCCTTCTTCCTCTCTGCCTGGCCATTAAGTCCCTCATCTGCTTCCTGGCATCCTGCTTTGGGCAGGATGCCACATTTCTGCTTTGGCTGAACTAGTGCTTCTCAGAAATGGACATGGGGTGGTGGGGAACAGCTGCCATGGCGTTAATGCTCACTGGCAGCAAGAGGTGAAGAACAAGAAGAGGAGGATCCCTTTATTTGTTTTGTGAAGAAAAATCTATTGAAAAAGAAGATAAAAAAAACCCAACCTGGCCCTCCCTGGTGGCGCAATGGGTTAGGACGCAGTACTGCAAGCTGGCCGCAGCCACTTCAGTGTGAATTCAATCCCTGAC